GTGAGCAGATGAAGGATGTTTTTCAATATAACATAATGACCAAAATGGATGTAACTTATACATCAACAAAACATACCAAAATCAGCCAAAGTGTTAACAATGCAGCCATATTGTATATTGTTTACAAAAGAAAGGGCATATTAACAAATTTACCAAAAAGGGCTTCCTAACAAATTTGCCCATATAGCCCATATAACTGCTTAAATTCTAACCAATCTAATCCAAAGTAAGAGGTTTTTCTGGATCCATTCCTATTCCTTTCTTGTCAACCACAATTTTCTTCAATATGTTTTCAGTGATCCTTTCAGAAGGTTTTCTTGTTCTAACCCTGACTTGAGTTCTAACCCTAACTTGAGTATCATAAACTCCCTCTTCATCATCCTCAGCTCCCTCTTCATCATTGTCCTCCTGTGATTCTTCAACTCCATCTTCATAGTCACTCTCCTCCTTGTTTTCATCATTGTCCTCCTGTGTTTCTGGTACATGTTCACTCACAAAAGGTGTTGGGTTATGAGCATTCTAACACTCCTAAGTGTACATGCAACCCTAAATACCGTGGATCTATGTTTTCTCTATTATACATACAATTATGAACATCCAAGGTATTATCCTAATCTAGCATACAAAATAATAAATATAACAAGATAGAATACATACCTCTTTGATGTAGAATGTCTTCATGAAGCTTGAGTGCCTAGTGCCCCAAGTGTGACACCTCAAATGGTTCACACAACACCAAATACACTTGGAATAACTTGAGAGAAACTTGAACACTCCTTGAAATCGTCTAGCCCTCACACTCACACATTAGTCCACGATTTCTTGAGCCATGGGATTCTTTTATATGGTGGCTATTAGGGTTACACCATGTAACTCATAACTTTACCCATATGATCCATGGATTTTAACCTCCATGGAGTATCCATGGGTCACCCCATGGACTTAGTCCAACATAAGGAATCTTGGATCACAAGCCCACATATATAAGAATGAATGATTTACACAATCAACCCATATATTTAATTAGTCTCCTTTTGATCACTTAATTAATTCCAAATTAATTCTTGATCAATACTAATTAAATAACCTTATTAATATATTAGAACTTATAATATATTAACCAACCTTAAGTGTTATTTCTCTCATTATAGTCTATCCAAATGCATGATGCCATGCAACCCAAATGGACCATGCCGGGTCGGGTCAAGTCTTACCAATTATAGTTATGGACTTAGACATTAATCCAACAAAAGGCACATCCTTGCATGGGAAAAAATACAAGTTAGTTATGTTATTGAAAAATAAAATACACTCTCAAGGTTATAATATATACCTTTGCAGCTTGTTTGGATTGGTGAAGCACAACATCAAATCCTTTAAGTTGTGATTGGGTGATATTAAGACACAAAAGGATCTCTGCTTCACTGTATTTTGACTCTCTATGGTAACTCAAATCATGCAGTATTTGATCCAGATAAGCCATATCAAGACCATCACCTTCATCATCAATCTTAACATCTGCTTCCTGTGTTTCTGGTACATGTTCACTGTCAACAGTAGGTGCTGTTTGGGTGACAAATTGACTCTCAACATTAGGTGTTGTTTGGGTGACAAATTGAGTCTCAATCCCAGGTTCTTTTTTCCTAGAACTTTCACCTTCTTCATAAACACTGGTAGACCCTATTCCACCACTTCTACCCCTTCTTCTACCACCTCTTCCACCACCTCTCCCAAGTCTTGTGCAATTGGTCAATTCTGGATTCAACCTTGGCCTTCCTATTTTCTTCTTAGGATTTGGTGTTGGTTTGACTGAGGAATTCTTGCAAGACACTTTATTGTGCCCCATTTGCATACAATTCTGACATTGGACAGTTCTACCCTTAGAGGAGACTTGGGAGAACCTGTCTTGATGCTCAGATACATGCCTTTTCCTTTTCATACAAGGTCTTCCTGGCATCCTTCTTTCAACAGGTGGTAGTGGTTTGGTGTAAGGTGTTGGTTCCCACATATTACTGCCATTAACAGGAAGGATGTTAGACTCATAAGTAGCTAAAAACTTGTCCTTACCAAACCATGTGCTGATGAATCTAGCTGGATCCTGTTGTGTGTAAATTATGGTTGCTTGGGCATGGATACAGGGGATCCCAGACAACTCCCAAAGTCTGCATGTAAAGTACATCCCCTCTAAGTTAACTCCATATGAGTGGAAGCCATTTCTCACTTCAAAAGCATTCAAACCACTAGGATGAACATACCAACTCCTGCAAACACATTAACAGTTTTAATTAGTATACATATTGATATCAATACTAAACTCATACATTGTCTTAATTTTATAATACTTACTTGATATCAAAAGCAAACTCATCTATTTGTTAATATGTACTGGACACACACCATTCACCAATTTACGTGCTTCTTGCTTCAAGTTAAATAATCTTTCCATCATATATAGTCTAATCTCCTCAAGCATGGCTAACAAAGGCTTCTTTCTGGCATCAAGTATGATGGCATTAAAACACTCTGCAATTCCATTTTGAACAGCCTCACATGCCATTCCACCTTTAAAAAATGCCCTGCATCAAGATTTAGGCTCCCTTGCCATCAAATGATCATAAGCAGCAGGATTGATTTCTCTGATCTTCTCCATATTTAATTGGAAGTCTCCTTCAATAGTTTAAACTCTTTTAAACTTATATATTGTCAAAATCATGTCTATATATATAGTTATATAAATAAGGTTGAAAGGGCTTAGGACTGATAACTCGCCTTATTTCATGTTCCTTGTTTGGTTGTGGACTTAGGGTACCGGTTGTTTGTCTGAGTGTCATTTGAATCTTAGTTATATATTATGTATATGTGTATAGATAGAAAAGTTCTTACATCAGTTCAATACCTTTGGTCAGCAAAGGTGTACAAACATGATTCAGTCAAACAAACAACATCACTAGTAAACTGTAATAGGTATAGTTTAGAGGATTACTACACACTATTTCTAGAACAATGAAACATACAAGAGTCAGTTCATACATGAGTCAGTTCAAACTTACTATAACGAGAAACAGACACTAGAACAGAGAGAACGTACTATACACTAGAGAACATACTATACACTAGAACAGAGAGAACATACCATACAAATACAAGGATACTATAACATTAATGTGAGCCACTACTTCATGGCACGACAATATACTGTTGTGTCACGTTTTGTAACCAGAGTCTCCTGGAGGGAGAGCGTGAATTTGTGTATAGATCTATACGGGATTGACCATCCTACACCTTGTTGCTAGCTACAGTGGGACCTGCAGGTCTACGGGTGACGAATGTCATACCATTTCGACGTCTCCGAACGTCGTGTTTTACTAGTCAATCGAGTATGGTTACAATCTTATCACAGTTTACCTTAATTAAACAAACTGATTTAAGGTAGTTAGTATATTGGTAGTTACTTATATATAAAATCACAGTACTTCTTTATTTTTCCCATTTCATTCACATTGTGATCTTCTCACATAAACGATAATGAAAACTATATTTTGGTAATGATAGTCATACTTGGGAAAAACACTCACTTTTACAAAAGAACAAACATTCAAAACAGTCGGGTCTTGGTAGAAGACTACTTTAGTAGAAAATATAGGATTTTCTAGGAAGTATACAAACATTTACATTCAAACATTTACAAACATTTACATTAAACATTTACAAACACTTTCATCAAACTTATACAAACAATGACACTAAATACTTATGAACTCACCAGCTTTAATGCTGATCTACGCTTTCAAAATAACTTGTATTCTCAGGTCACCAGTAGACAGGTACCGATGACCAGGTTTTGAGAAGACGGAGCACGTTCAAGACTCGTCTTTTATTTTGATTCATATTTTGGTGTCTTTTAAACTATACAGAACACACTTGTATTGAATTATATTATTAATGCAATGGATGATGTTGTTGCTTGTTTTACTATTATGCATTTTTATGATACTGTACATGACGTCCTCCGCCCCCGAACGTTTCCGCCGTTCTGGTTTGGGGGTGTGACAGTTTCAAACTTAGGATTCTATATTACTGAAGTTGAAGTTGAATTTTGGTGATAACTTGTTCAATTTCACCAGGGTATATACGCAATAAAAAGAAGAAACATAAACATACATTGTCCTAAGATGCTTCCATACTTAGTTTTGCAGACTTATTGTCTTTCATACTTGTTACATTAGATCAATTGAGATTATCACAAGACATATGGATTGAACTGATGAGAGTAGATTAGGGTTCGAACGGAGTAACAAGGTAATCGACATTGTTAGTGGTTGGATATATTAGAAGAAATATAAATGTTTTTTTTTTATTTAAACGACATTGTTGGTGGTTGGAGATATCAAAAGAAATAAGAAACTTATTGGTGCTTGTAGTGATGGGTGGGAGGGGCGAAAAAGGGGGTCCAACAACACAAAGATGACGTCGTTTCAAATCAAAACTTGGAAATCACCATGGTATCGTTGTCCCGTGGCGATGGTCGACATCAGCGATTACTCAGATTTTGTCCGACAATAGAGGATGAATTGATGTCTGATGGTCTCTATCAAGTCTTGACTGAAAGCGAGCCTTAGGGGTGAGTGTGTTGGGGAAGAAGTAACTTATTTTAAGACTTCATGAATCGTCCTTGTAATTAGTAAAAGATGATTTTACCCTCACATGTTTTGCACATGTTATGATTTAACTAATTAAAATAGACACTGTTAACCATAAAGATTGTTTATGAAAAGTTTTAAAATCATATGGACTATCCTTGAAGATAAAAAAGGGTAAGGACTAAAGACCAGATTTTAAAAAACTACAATGACCATTTATGAAGTTTTGTCTTGTTTATATTAGAGGAAACATATAACTATATAAGGAAAGTCTAGTGACTGAATGTAATATCCCCTAAAAATATAGAAATGGTTATAAATGAAAACTAAGCAATAGTCCAGGGACTAGAATGTAGTTTTCTCCGCGATCTGATTTAGCCACCAGCTTTTTACTTTCCATACTTTTCAATCCTCTCTTGTTTACTCGTGAAGATCGAACGAACACCGCGATTGAAATCCCATTGACTCTTGGTTCCTTTTGGTGTTTGATTCTTCCAAGTTTCTATCATCTCGAAACCATCTCCTTCCGATAGATCCCTGAGTTTACCTGTAATCCCAACTCCAAATAACCTTCCCCAAACAATGAAGTTTCAAAGATTTGGTGTCTGTGTCATTGTAATTATAGGGCTTCTATCCACAATCGCTCAGTCAATACGTTTCGAGCTCGAATCAGGTCACACTAAATGCATAGCAGAAGACATCAAGAGCAATTCCATGACAGTTGGTCATTACTCCATAGTTAATCCCAACGAAGGACAGCCGTTACCTGAATCTCACAGAATCACTCTCAAGGTCAACTTAATAACTAATTCTAGATGCTAATTCCGTTATTTATTATCAGATAGTAATTTATTGTTCGCTTTCTTTTTGCATGATTTGCACTTATCTTGTAACCCTAATCGAACTGCGCGGAGTTTTTATACGTTTTCTCTATGTTTGACATTCAATTTGTTTGAACATCGTTGTCCTTTAAATTATATTACTATATTTTGGATGATGTGAATTGATTACGACTTATATGTTTTAGATCGTAGTAATAAATTAGGGTTTCTTCGCAACTGAAGTTTTGGATTTAATTAGATCGTAGTATTAAATTAGGGTTCGGATCTTTCTTGAACCTTATTGTTATCCTCTTTGTGTAATGCAGGTGACTTCATCCTACGGGACTAGCTATCACTCATCTGAAAATGTGCAATCAGGGCAATTTGCTTTTCAAGCTGTTGAAGCTGGAGATTATATGGCTTGCTTTTACGCCATTGATCACCAACCATCACTTAAGATCCCAATTGAATTTGATTGGAGGTCTGGTGTAGCTTCTAAAGATTGGTCCAATGTTGCCAAAAAAGGTTCAGTAGATGTAAGCCTCTCTAATTCCATTTCCATCAATCTTTCTCATCACATAAAAATATCAAATTTGATGTTCATATTATAAGTTTTCGGTTTCCAGGCAATGGAATTTGAGTTAAAAAAACTAGCAGATACCATCACTTTTATCCATGAGGAGATGTTTAATCTCCGAGAAAGGTTAGTGAAATAATTTCCCAAAAGGGTAAAATAGTCCGTTTCTGTTTTGGTATTTCTAAAGTTGAAATTACGTATTCGCCCTTGTTACAGGGAACGAGAAATGCAAGAGCTTAACAAAGTGACAAACTCAAGAATGGCGTGGTTGAGTTTTCTTTCGCTCTTTGTTTGCTTATCAGTTGCAGGTTTGCAGCTATGGCATTTGAAATCTTTCTTTGAAAAGAAGAAGCTTATTTAATTCTTGTAACATTTTTCATCTTCTTTAAGAGTCGTATCTATGGATTTTTAATCTAAATACTTGTAATTGACTCTTTATTATTGTTAGGATCAAAGTCACACCGAGTAATTTCTAAAAACGAAAAATCAGAGATTATGATATTTATGTTTATTTATGGTAAAAAGTTGCTTATTTTCACTATTAATGTGGATAATATATTCTAGTTTTTTTCCTATAATAGCCAATGTATTTATATTTGTATCTATAGTAGCAATGTACTTGTATTTAATTATAAGTTTTAGGTTATGTGGTGTTATTGTTGGTAAAAAATATAAGTATGTTGCTATTATGGTAATGAATTATGAGAAATTTTTTATTGTGTGTAATATATGTGAATACATTGTTATTATGGATAAACAAAAAAACACATTTTATAAGTTTTAGGTTACATGAAGTTATTATAATTAAAAATACTATAAACGTACTGTTACTATGAATAAAAAACTATAATAGATTGTCTATATATGTAAAAAGGGAAAATGTGGTTAAATAATATAGAGCACATGTTTATTTTGGAAGAGATCATGAGTATGTTGGGCAAGTAATTTTGAGAACTTTTAATTTTTAAGAAAAAAATTGAATTAAAGAAAAAACTTTGTTGGGTAGTATGGGTTTACAACTTTTATTTAAAAAAAAAATTAATTCAAAAATTGTTTCTAATAGACTTTAGGGTCTTTTAGCTATTTTCAAAGTTTTGGCTTTTAAATTATGGACGTATTTTGCAAAACTCCTTGGAAAGCTAAAAGTGGAAGTTGTAATTTTATATGGATAAAAGTGTGACAAACTATCTGAAATTTTTTTAAAAGTGTAAAATTATATAAAAAACTAAATGTTAAAAGCTCTCAAAAGTGGATTGATTGGATTACGAGTGTATTATTTAAAATAAAAGCTTTAAGTTCGTATTTCCGAACGAAGTTTTTTCTTTAATTTAAGTTTTTTCCTAAAAATCTCTCAAAAGTTTGTTGACGAACACATCATCTTTATAATTTTATCTTTTTTAAAAACTTACATCTATATTTGTCAAAACTTATGTAGAAATAAAGTTATAGATTCTAGCTATTGTATACCACTCTACCAACTATCTATTAATTTTGTTGAACATATCCTATAACACTTGTTTTTTTTTTACAATGCTTATTGAACTTCATACTCTATTCTTTTCAGTTAGTATGAGATTTGAAAAAAAAAAAAGTTTGCTTTGTACTTGTTCAAGTAGGTTTTGTTTTGGATTACATGTTTTTTTATGTCATGAAAAAGAAAAATACATATTTTTAATAAGGATTTAATGTAGATGACTTGAATATATTGAATCGAAAATAATGTCCAAAATATATGATATAAAAAAAACATTTTAGTAAGGATTTATCGTAATGACTTAAATCTGTTGAATTCCATATATCGTCCAAAATATATTTAAGGTTGTGTTTGACACACTATAATTAATTTATTTTTTGAATTTTTTTGTTGTCATGTTTGAAAAATCAACAATTAGTTTATAAGTTATATATTTAAAAAAAAAAAAAAAAAAAAACTATCAAAAATAGTTTTTCAACAGACTTATTAAGTTTTTCCTATATTTTTCCAAATACATTATTTATTAATTATTCAAAATTTATACCCATGTCCTAAACCAAAGTTAAAGTACATTTACGTATGCCATTAATTTTTACCGGTATATTGTTTTGAGGTTCCTAAAAGTATTTTCAAATAGGAAGTGATTTATACAGAATATTATTTATCCATATATAATAATTTGTGTTTTAAAAGGGTTGTATAATATGTATAAAAAACATATCATGGTTATATATAGATAAAAAAAAATCGTTTATAATATGTATCATAAACATATCATCCTTGTATATAGATAAAAAAAATTGTATACCAAATAATACTGAAATCTTATGATCTATAAAAGAATATTGTTCATGTTTCGTAGTTGGGATATCCGGAGGTGAAGTTTAATATTATGAGTATTATATGAGATGCAATACATTTTACTTAAAAAAAAAAAAACTAGGGAACTATTTTCAGTTCATTTTGTTTAATTTAATGAAATGTATTACAAATCCAGTAATATTAAATTGTTAGTATATATATATTTCTTAGCTAACTTATCAATTAATTTTTTAACCATCGCCTAGTTTTTTAGCTAATAGCTAACTTTTAAGATAGACTTTCAAACATTGGCTAAATATTGATAGCCTTCTAAGTTGTTTTATTAATATATTTTAAATAAATATTTATTAATGAATATGGTGTAATTATATTTGATATAGTAATATAAGGTTGTTTTATTTATATATATAGTACATTCATTATACACAATGTGTAAAACCCGTATATTACACGGGTTGATAAAAAAATAAAATATCAAACTGTAACAATAAGTAATTTTTAAAATAAATTTTTGAAATAAGGAATGAAGAAACATATTAATTGTAATTTAGTATAATATTTATTATACTTGATACTTTACATATATAAATATAAATATTATATGGTTTTTTAATTTTAAAAGTTGAAAAAAACCATAAATTGACATGTGGATATTATTTATTTAAACAATATCACAAAATGACAAGTGTCAAAACTCATTAGAGATTGACATGTGACAAAATTATCTTCGTTTAATATAGTAGATAAGCTAAAAATAGATGGAAAATATATGTAGTGCATTTCTATTAATACTAAAAATGAAAAGTTATTAACTTAATGACCATAATCGTCTTTTATATACCACAAAATACTGTTTAATTTATGAAACAGACTTATGAATTTGCGTAATTACTATTTTTGACATCATATCTCGTGAATATTTTATTTTTCGAGAAAAATACATTTTTTTTTTTCGTAAAAGTGGCGTCTCTCATGGAAAAGTAACGTTATTTTGCGAAATTTAAAGGGTGAAGTCGGTTTAATTGATAGGCAAGAAAAGTAATTGCAATACAACTTGTTAAAGCGTATCGTTTTTTCATGATTTCGATTCTCATTACGTATGTTTTTTGCTTCAAAGAGATTGTATGTAGAAAAGCTTTGAAAGGGACTTGATAATGCAACCTTAGAGGCAAACACTTAACCACTTTGTTTAGCTTTTATATTTCTAAGAAATACGTATCTTACAGTAATTACTAATGATTGAAAATACTGTTTTTAACGGTTTTTAACAAAAAAAAAATCATTTAAAATCAACCTTACGTATTTTGAAAAAGTTGTCAACTTATCAAATAACACAAAATAGCATTCGCCTTAAGAGTGCGGACCATTGAAAAAGTAATGACACGAATCCGTAAAAAAATTTAGCTGAAAAATATCATATTATTTTGTGATACTTCGTAAAAGGCGACTTTAAAGTAGCAACTAGTAAGTATGGTATTTTAGTGAATAATCTAAAAAGAATCCGTTTAAATTCAAACTCATGTTGAGCAGTTTGAATTTTTTTTAACAGTTTCACACAATGTTTTAAAAACCGGTTTTTTAGTTGAACCGGTATGTTGACCGGTTCACGGTTCAACCGGTTTAACCGGTTCGACCGCCGGGTGAACCAGTTTCTATAGTTTTCATGTTTTTTCTATTTTCTTACATATACATACACATATAAAGTATGAATTTGATATTTATCAGTTCAAACATTAAAAATACACATAAAAATATGTTGTAGATGAATCCAAATACATTAAATTAACACATAACCATAAGTTTTAGTGTTTTACATCAATCCATATACGTCAAAAAGAAAATAAAGTATAATACCGAAACGAAATATAGTTTTAGATGAATACAAACACATCAAAAAACTTTATAACATTTACCATATGTTTTTATTTAGAGAAAACTAAATAGATTTGAAAAAAAATCACCAAAGTTTATTATGTAAATGATACTTTTTCATGTGTTTTTATTCGGTTTAACCGGTTCAACCGGTTTATTTTGACCGGTTCAACCGGGTTTTTCTAAAAACTGGCCGGTTCAATCCGGTTCATAAATCAATGTAAAACCGGTGATGGTTGAACCGCTCCTTCTCCCGGTTCCCGGTCCAACCGGTTCGACCGGCCGGTTCAAACCGATTTTTAAATCATTGGTTTCACACCTTTAAAAAAGAGAGCTGATTTATCCACCGAATATTTTTATCCATACACACAAAATAATGTGTATTGACAATATTACCCTTAATTTAATTTCTGGATATGTGTTTGGAAACTCCAAACAGTGTACAACTCATAACGAAACAACCTATAATCCTTCGGTGCCTACTTGTTCTTCAGCAGGCGCTGCTTCTTTAGGCCACTCTCAAACAACAACTCCAAACGATTTTCCATAGATGTTGTCCCCTTGAAAAAAACAATAAAATCTCAATCTTAGCTGCAACAATTTTGCAACATAGGTTCATAAAAAATAATCAAAATCATGTTCTTATTTCTACAAGAATGGAATCAGAAGAGAGAGAGACTACAAACCTTTCTTGAGACCAGGACAATTCGTCTGCCCAAACAAACACCAAATGTTAAATTTTTTGTCTCTGGATCCCTATGCACCTTCAAACAAATTCCACATAATTGGAATCAAACGCAAAACAAACGCAAAACAAGCAGAATCCAAGTACCAATTCCAATTTTCATTCGAAATTTAAATTGGAATGATTTCTGAGTCGTAACATCAAATGTAGTTTTACTGAAATTGTTTTGTGGACAATAACACTCGAAAATACAAACATCTTCTTGAACAAAAAGTGAATCCAATTCTGTTATTTTCAGTAGCAGGTAGCAATATAATAATCAAACACATAGTTTGCATTTGACCCATACAAAGCATATGTTTAACCAGGAATCGAAACCAAAAATTCTAATCAGCATAAAATCAAACAGTTGATGTGCAAGGATAATAGAAGTTTATGGTCTAACATGTATTGTTTTTTTTATGTCCTTCCCACAACAAACAACGAGGGACCAGAAAGTTGCAAATAACTTATATAAATTAATGATGAAAATATAAACAATACAATAGAAGAAATCTGTAAGAGACTTGTATCTGTGAAACTGAGGACAATAACACCAACAATAAAATCGATAAATATGAAGATCGATGATGGAGAGCCTGAAGGTCGAGAAATTCAAAAATTCATGTTGGAATTTGAGCTCGATTACGAATAGACAATGGAGACCCTGAT